TGAGTAAGCTGGAGAAATGCGGGTTCAACGGGACTCCCATTAAGTGGATATATAATTGGTTACACAACCTCAAGCAAAGAGTAACTATTAACGGAATGATGTCAGATTGGAGGGATTTCTCAAATGGGGTTTCACAGGGATCTGTTTTGGGTCTAATGTTATTTAACATAAGAACGGCCGTATCGGGTCAGACCAAAGGTCCATCTAGCCCAGTATCCTGTCTGCCGACAGTGGCCAATGCCAGGTGCCCCAGAGGGAGTGGATCTAACAGGCAATGATCAAGTGATCTCTCTCCTGCCATCCATCTCCATCCTCTGACAAACAGAGGCTACATCTTCATTAATGACCTGGATGTAAGAATAGAGAGCATACTGATCAAATTTGCAGATGACACAAAGCTGGGGGAGTTGTTAACACTTTGGAGGATAGAGCAAAACTTCAAAGGGATTGTGATAAATTGGTGAACTGGGCTATAAGCAACAATGAAATTCAACAAAGACAAGTGTAAGGTGCTACAGTTCGGGAAGAAAAACCCAGTGCACAAATACGGAATGGGGGGTAACTGGGATGGCAGCAGCACCGCTGAGAAGGATCTGCGAGTTGTGGTGGATCACACCCTCAACATGAGGTCAACAGTGTGATGATGATGCAAAAAAGAAGCAAATGCATTAACAGAAGAATAGCATGCAAATCACAGGTGGTTATAGTGCTGCTCTGCTCAGCATTGGTTAGGCCTCAGGGGCAGTCCTGGGTCCAGTTTTGGTCACCTGTGACTAGATAGGATGTAGAGAAACTGGAAAGAATCCAGAGGCAAGTGACAAAGATGATCAAAGGGATGGAATGCAAACCAGTGAGCAAAGGCTGATGGAACTGGGTGTGTTTAGTTTGGAAAAAAGAGTTAATAGGGAGGGATATGATAGCGGTCTTCAAATACTCGAAAGACTGTGTAAGTGTGTGTGGCCATCCCTCCTGGTCTATCTCTGAGGGAGGCCAGGCCTCCTCGCTGTCGTGCTCTTAGCACTGCAATCAATTAAGGGGGAATTAGCAGTCTTCAAAGCTCAGGCCACTTGATCCAGGCTGAGCAATAGTTAGTCTATGGTGCCCGGCCCTCAGGCAGGACTGGGCACTGGCAGTCAGTGCTCTGGCCTGCAATCAGGGCAGAGCTGCAAAGTCTCAAAGCCCAGGCCCTCAGGCAGGGCGGGACATCAAACAATTAGGGGCTTTGCCCAGGGCGAGCACCAAACAGTCTAGAGCTCAGGCAGGGGCAAGCACCAAACAGTCTAGCGTCCTAGCTCAGCGGACGGTAGACCAACACAGACCTCCTGACCAAAGGTGGGGTGGCAGGAGGTAGGGGGACCCTGGCCCACCTGACTCCACCGGGTCCCAGCCCTGGGCCCTAACAGTGGCAGTGTAGTCCGCCACTGGATCAGCGGGGATCCGCCCACAACACACTGACTTAGTGTCAGGCCAACACTCAACCAGACGATGGTCTAGTTTCCCTGGGCTACTTTCTACAATCCCCAGGGTTTGGTATCTCTGGCCTCCATTTCCCCGGGGTCAGTGGTCTGTGGCAGCCCCATCAGCTTGTTGGCACCTCGACTGGCTGGCGACCCTGGGAGCTCTGGCCAGTCCTCTGGCGGCCGCCCCAGCAGGTCCTCGGTGTCCCGCTCCAGCAGTGGGTGATAAGCGTCTGTCTCCCTCGGCAGCTCCAGCCCAACTGAGCTGCAAGTCCCTCCTTTTGTAGTTCTGCTTCCTGCCCGGCCCCATAGCTTCCGGAGGGCTGGAGGTGGCTTTCCTGGCTCTGTAGCCCAACAGGTGGGTTGTGATCCCTGCTGCTGTTCCTCACTACAGGCTGCCATACAAAGGATGGAGAACAGTTCTTCTGTCTTGCCACAGAGGGCAGGACAAGAAGGAGTGGGTTCAAACTACAGCACAGCAGATTTAGATTAAATCTCAGGAAAAACTTCCTAACTGGAAGAACAGTAGGACAATGGAACAGACGCCTAGGGAGATGGTGGAAGGTTACAGAGTAGCAGCCGTGTTAGTCTGTATCCGCAAAAAGAACAGGAGTACTTGTGGCACCTTAGAGACTAACAAATTTATTAGAGCATAAGCTTTCGTGGGCTACAACCCACTTCTTCGGATTCTTCGGTGGAAGGTTATTCACTGGAGGTTTTCAAAAGGAGGTTGGAGCCATCTGTCTTGGGTGGTTTAGTCACAGCAAATCATGCACCTTGGCAGGGGGTTAGACTAGATGACCTTTGTGGTCCCTTTTAACTCTCTGATTCTATGGGGAACTGGGGTTCGCCCTTGGAAAAGCTAAAGCTAGCATGTTGCCCATTACGGGTAGGTGTGAACTGCGTCTGGAAGCTGCCTCCCAGCCAGAGTCCATGCTGACTCACTACAAATAATGGTGTAAGCGCTGTCGGTTGGGCTGTAGCTTGGGTTCTAAAGCCAGGGGTTGAGGGTGGGTGGGTGGGGTGGGTGGGCTGGATGGTCTGAGCTCCATCAAAGCAATGTCTCCACAGCCATTTTTAATGCACTAGCGGGAGACCCAGCCTGGAAAGTGGCCGACTTCCTGATGCACCTTAAACATACCCTAAAGAGGGCAGTCCCAAGGGAGACTATATGAATGTTAGGTCATCTAACTCCCTGTAAATCCATGACCCAGCCCCCTCCTTTGGCACCCTGTCACCGTGCCTTAGTGGGTCACAGCTGACGATGCCAAATTCAGGACGAACTGGTGAGAAATACGTCAAACACAGCCCAAAACTAGTGGTTATTCTTTTATAAGATAGACCAAACCAGCCACAAAAGTAAACTCCTGTTTCACCACACTGGCTAACAAGAAAACATAAAGGCAATTTTCTCAGGCATTCCAGTTCTTATACCCCCACCAAAAACACTGGATTCAGAGATGAGTGGTTCTTTACAACCAGTGTCATTAAATAATAGGTTTCAGAGTAGCAGCCGTGTTAGTCTGTATCCGCAAAAAGAACAGGAGTACTTGTGGCACCTTAGAGACTAACAAATTTATTAGAGCATAAGCTTTCGTGGGCTACAACCCACTTCTTCGGATGCATATTGAGTGAAACATATCGAGGAGATATATATACACACATACAGAGAGCATGAACAGGTGGGAGTTGTCTTACCAACTCTGAGAGGCCAATTAAGTAAGAGAAAAAAACTTTTGAAGTGATAATCAAGGTAACCCAGTACAGACACTTTGATAAGAAGCAAGTGTGAGAATACTTACAAGGGGAGATAGATTCAATGTTTGTAATGGCTCAGCCATTCCCAATCCCTGTTTAGCCCTGAGTTGATTGTGTCTAGTTTGCATATCAATTCCAGCTCAGCAGTCTCTCGTTGGAGTCTGTTTTTGAAGTTTTTCTGTTTTAAGATAGGTTCTTCTGATCCCAAAGGGCCAGCCACTCCCAGATCAATATACAACTTAGATCTTACCCAAAAATCACACTGGTGCCAATCCTTTAGTATCTAAAATCTAAAGGTTTATTCATAAAAAGAAAGAAAGGTGAGAGTTAAAATTGTCTAAGGGAATCAATTACATACAGTAATGGCAAAGTTCTTGGTTCAGGCTTGTAGCAGTGATGGAATAAACTGCTGGTTTAAGTCAAGTCTCTGGAGTACATCCACAGCTTGGATGGGTCATTCAGTTCTTTGTTCAGAGCTTCAGTCTGTAGCAAAGTTCCTCCAGAAGTAAGAAGCAGGATTGAAGACAAAATGGAGGTGTTTCCAGGGCCTTTTATAGCTTTTGCCATGTGGAGGGCATCTCATTGTTTTTACTGTGGAAAATTACAGCAACAAGCTGGAGTTTGGAGTCACATGGGCAAGTCACATGTTCATGCCCAATTTCCCTCAGTCATTGCAGGAAGCCATTACCTACATTCCAGACAGCACATTTACATGACAGTCCACTCAGTGTAAACAGGCTTCTCCCATGGTCCATTGTCAACCAAGTGTTTCTTGATGAACCACTTAATTTCAACAATCCCTCCAAGATGTGCTAGCTAGCTACCTTGTGGGCGTTACCCTGTTATGCTTATAAGAAGCACACGAGATCTTTTTCAGGGGAAAAGGAAATACACCACGTTTATTGAAGATACAACAATTAGCATATGCATTCAATCACACACCACACACACATACACTGTCCCGCCAGTCGATGTTATAGTTAACAGTCCAGAGTCTGGATCAACCTAGTGGCCATTTAGATTCATCACGTGTAGAGAGGAGCTGGGTTCGGTCGGTCGCGACACGATGCTCCTGGGAAGTCTTGTCAGGATGAACCCAAAGTTTCCTGGCAAGGCACCCTGTTTATATAGTGATTTTCCTTCATTGGGACCAATGAGTTTTGCACCGTCTTGTTGTGATGAATTGTTCTTCGAGGAGTGCTTGTTTTCTTAAATCGTCCTTCTCATCCTTTATCTTGTTCTTTCATCAAGTTCCTCAGGGAGTTGTCCCACGTTGGTTTTAATCACAGCTATCTTGTCCCCACTGGTAGGTGCCTGTCTCATCTTTAGAGTCATCAATCAGCCCTCCTCTGACATTTCAATAGGGGTGTGTTGCAGCCTCCTGGTGCCCTTACATCTGTCTCCAGTTCCTCGCTCGTACATCTGGTTCAGCGATGGCCTTCACACTTACCTCTTAACACGTACATTCCTCATTCACACACAGAACAGAATTAATTTACACAGAACATTTTGAACAGAAACATCAAATTGCAATGCAAAAGAAAACAATCATGGCATTCTTTTACTTATTTGAAAATGCTAAACCTACAACAAATTGGTGACCCTCACAGGTCTGTTACTGCCTTGAAATCAGTCCAGACACAGATTCTGGCTGATGTATCTCTACCCATTGGCCCATTAGTCCATTCCTTTCTGTTATTCAAAAAGGGTGGCTGGCAAGATATGATCAGATCATACACCAATACATTTAATACATGCTACATTATTATCCTTCATTCTAAATTATATAAAATACAAACATAAAATCCTACTACTACATTTGGGGGAAGAGTTTTGGGAAGTTCAGTTCCTGGTTTTTATTTGACCTCTCTCCAGCACTTGTTTTGGTTTGGCCTTCCCCTTTCCATCCCTGTTTGAGGTTTCTGTCTCAATCACAGCAGGTGATGCAATGGTATGTGACAAAGAGGAACAGAATTGTCAGCAGGAAAATGTTGAGCAAGTGGATAAACACAGAGAATTATCACAAAGACGAAAAAGGAATGTGTCCAGGAGTCATGACCAGGGAAAATCCTGTGAGATTCAGCACAGACCAGACAGAGAGCAAGGAAACCAGCCAGGGGAGAAAGTGGGTAAATTTATGTCCTGTTGGGGAACTCAGAAGGACATCAAGGAAACCACAACCCAGCAGGAAATCCTCATGGAAAAGAGAAAAAATACATGCACTGAGTGTGGGATAAACTTACATGACTACTCAGCCCTTATAAAGCATCAGAGAATACACACAGGTGAGAACCCCTGTGAATACAGTGAGTATGGAAAAAACTTCAATCGCAGATCAGGCCTTTTTCTCCATCAGAGAATCCACACGGGGGCAAGGCCCTATGAATGCACTGAGTGTGGAAAATGCTTCGCTAAGAGCTCAGCCCTTTCTGAACATCAGAGAATCCATACAGGGGAGAGACCCTATGAATGCAGTGAGTGTGGGAAAAACTTCACTCACAGAACAGGCCTTTTTCTCCACCAGAGAATCCACACAGGGGAGAGGCCCTATGAATGCTGTGAGTGTGGGAAAACCTTCAATCGCAGTTCGCACCTTATTAGGCATCGGAGAATCCACACAGGGGAGACACCCTATGAATGCAGTGAGTGTGGGAAAAACTTCACTCGCAGATCAGGCCTTTCTGAACATCAGAGAATCCACACAGGGGAGAGGCCCTATGAATGCAGTGAGTGTGGAAAATGCTTCACTAACAACTCAGCCCTTTCTAAACATCAGAGAATCCACACAGGAGAGAGACCCTATGAAAACAGTGAGTGTGGGAATACCTTCTCTTGGCACTCGACCCATGTTAGCCATCAGAGAATCTGCAAGGGAGATCAACACCATAAAAACCTCTAGGGCTATCAATACTTTTTAAAAAAAAAAAACTTTTCCTGATTCCTATATAGCTTTTAAAGCTGCTTGATCTGTTTGCAGCACCATTATCCCTCGGCTTCTCCAGATGAGTGGGCCATTTTTGCCTTTTGCAGTTTGCCCTGTTTTGAGGTGGACCTATTTGTACTTTCTATTGTCCCATGGGTAATTTGAGTGTGCCCTTCGTATCAGGAAGCAGGGAGCATCACATTTATACCGTTCCTACTATTGCAAAGTTATTGTTAGAGTCACCAATGATACAGATTGTATTATTGTCAGTTGTTCTCGCGTTGCTCTGGGTTTTGCTGAAGAGCAGTTATATTGGGAACTTTTCAAATTATATGTAAATGAAGAGAAGCAGGGGCCCGAAAAAATGTGTCATTTCAGCCTCTGAGACACTGGAAGGAGATGGAGTAACTCAGAGATTCCCTCCTTCCCCATCACCACAGAACTCTTACCTTTTGTCTGAGCCATGAAGAGTTTATCTTCATCACATTCTATCCATCCACTTCTCAAAGTGTCATGTGATGAAGCTTTCTCTGTTGTCTGTGCTTGGAGATGATGCTTTGACTTCTTTAATCCTATATCAGAGTCACCATGACTGGAGATGAAAGTATCAAAGACCTGGGAGGGGAATTCAAATGAATCCCAAACACAATGTGATCATTTGGAGTTTAAATCCCAGGTTCCATCTATTGGCAAAGCCACTTCTGGCAAAGTGGCTGTTTTCCCGCCCATTATGGAGATACTACTGTACTGAAAACATTGTAAATAACATAACTGACTTTTGAGATAGTGTTGTGTGAAGCAGGTTTGAATGGATCAGAGGAGAATGTGATGGGAGAATCTCTTGTCCTGATTCTGAGTCATCAGATGTAACCTGGTCTGGAATTTCACTTGACACTTCCATTGTCATGTATTCTATTTCTCTGTGATGTGGATTTCTATCTTTCCTGAAAGCTGTTTGGTCACCCAATTGAATATTAGTTCAGTTTGATGAGATGTAGCTCAGATTTATTGGAGAATTTAAAACAAATGACCATTTGCTAAAGTCATCATTTCTCACTTCAGCTTTGCTTTCCCCCCATCCCTCCATGATAACATGGAGAAAGTTCAAGTGCAGTTCTGTCATCAGGAGAGAACTCTCCAATTTACTGCACCTGCTAACAAAGAAACAGCAGTGATTTAAAATCTCCACTCGGAAATGGTGAACAACAGCAGAACCCCAACTAACTGAAGGAAGTGCATATGATCCTAGTGTAGTTGAATTGTTTAAGTCGATGTTGTCTCAGATGATCTGGGGAGAGAATTCCACGGTAAGTGGTTTTGAAGTAGGCAAAATGCCCATGTATTTGGTTCCTAAAGCATTTGTAACCCAGGCCCCACAGATGATCTCTCCTAACTAATCCTATGGTATGGGAGATGCTGCCCTTCATGACGCAGATGTTGAGGAAATAGAAGTGGGGGTTTTGTTGAATTTATCCTTTGTAGTTGCTAAAAATGTGTATAAAATGAAATCAGTGTTGGAAATCTAATAGCTTCAGAAAAATAGCTATTTTTGAATAGAAACTTCAGGTCTGGTAACTAACAGAGATTTGAATCCAGCCCTTTATCCTGTCCCTTGCCTGGAACTGTGCCAGCAAATTAAAGAAAAACTGGGCATGTTTTGGGAAGCCATTCCTCACTAACAGTGCTGAGATTTGGAGTGGTTTTGTAAAGGATTCTACTTCAGAGAACTGTAAATTTATCCTAACCAAGGCCAAAGATTTGGAAAGAACTGAGGTTGAAAGAGTCCACACCCAGTTCTTGCTTTCCACCCCAGTAAAGGAAGTTATGATGACCAACGACCCAAGGAAAATTGTTTGTACAACTCCACTTCCGAATGAAGGGGAGTAGGCTCCGGTTGGGAGTGAGGAGCAGTGTGCATAGGAGGGGCTGTGGGTTGGGTCTGAGGGGCACTGGGAATAGAGGGGACATGGGTTCAGGTTGAAGAGCATCCTCATTTGGGGATCTAGCAGGACAGGGGAAGGCAGCAGGTGATTCTAATTCCTTAGGGATATTTTGTGTGTGTGTGCAGGGGAGGAACATGCTATATGCCCAGAGGCCTTTATTCCTCTTTCCTGTGAGGACAGAGGGAATGTCAGGAAGTTGCCCCTTCAATCCCACACACAAAAAGGCCCTTCTTAGGAAAGGCAAAATCCTGAAGAGAAAAAGTTACATCAAAGAGAGAGATTTTTAAGATCCTGCTGAATAGTTCATCACCTGACCAGGGACTTGAACCCTGCACCCTCAGATTAAAGGTCTGATGTTCTACCAACTGAGTGAGCCTGGCTTGGAGGGGAGGGGAGGAAGGAGTGAGTTAGTGCAGAGGCGAAACTAGGCAAGAAAAAGCAGGAAACCAGCTGCTCTCTCTCTCTTATTGAATCATAGAATATCAGGATTGGAAGGGACCTCAGGAGGTATCTAGTCCAACCCCCTGCTCAAAGCAGGGCCAATCCCCAGACAGATTTTTGCACCAGACCCCTAAATGGCCCCCTCAAGGATTGAACTCACAAACCTGGGTTTAGCAGGCCAATGCTCAAACCACTGAGCTCTTCGTCTCCTTCTCTTCCTAGCCTTAGCCTAGGCTCATATTAGTGCCGGTTAAGAAGAGGGGGAAGTAGCTGCATCTACCAGCCTTTCATAGCTGTACAGGAATCAGGGACAATACAGAGGTACCCATCTGCAAGTGCCAAATGGTTGAATTGGCGAATGCAACCTCTAGAAGTCCATGGCACACTTGGATATAAAATCAAGTGTACATCACCATAATTATTTAGAGGGATAATGATAGGAAAGTTCACGATTGATTAAGTAGTTACATAAAAAGATAATTGGCTATTCATGCTCATTAGAATCACTGTGGACTGAGCTTTTTTCCTCTCTGTCTCCATTCTAGAACATCAGAAGTACCCTGAGCAGGTATGTGGCTCCTTCAGACTCCCGCTTAGATTTCAGGATGCTGGGAAGGTGTTTGGAGACTGTGTGAAAATCAAAGCTCTCTACAGTGGCTAATAGCAAAATGTGGGCATGTTGCCCCTGTGCACCACACAATAAAGCTGATGTTGGTGCAGATGGACCAATGTAGCTGCATGGCTTTAGCACTGCTATTACAGGTGCTCTCAGCCAATGGGAGAGATCTCTCCCATCTGACTTTATTAGTCCAGCCCCTGCAATCAGCAGTGGCTATGTTGGCAGGAGAAGTTCTCCTGCTGATGTTGCGCTATCTGCACAGGGGGTTAGGGCTGTGTAACTACGTTGCTCAGCTGTGTGGATTTTTTTATTTAATTTACCTCCTTTAGTGTAAGGAGTTCTGATAGAAAACTTCCCTATGAAGGTTGGGGTGGGAAAATGTGTGTGAGAAATAGTGTAGAAGAGAATATTGGCCCAGTATAGATTTTAATTTTTTGTATTTCAAATAGAACTTCTTTTGCTTAGTTTCAAAGTCAATTTCTATAAAAAGGAAATCTATGCAAAGAGGGAGGGATAGCTCAGTAGTTTGAGCATTGGCCTGCTAAACCCAGGATTGTGAGCTCAATCCTTGAGGGGGCCATTTAGGGATCTGGGGCAAAAATCTGTCTGGGGATTGGTCCTGCTTTGAGCAGGGGGTTGGACTAGATGACCTCCTGAGGTCCCTTCCAATTCTATGAACCAGCCTTTTCCCCACTTAGACTGTAAGGGTCACTGACTTCCCCAGTTCCCTAATTTGCAAAGGAAAGGCATGACATCTGTCGCATGATGTGTCCAGCAGGTAGGAAAGCTGCAATTGTCAACCATCAGTATGAAGGGAAAGGCTGAAGTCCATTGCCTTTCAGGTAAAAAAGCCATCTAAAGGCTGGTCTATGCTGAAAAGCTATGTTGACATAGCTACATTTCTCAGGGGTGTGAAAAATCCACTCCACTGAGAGTAGTTAATGTGACCTGAGCCCCAGTGTAGACAGTGTTAGGTTGTCAGAAGAATACTTCCAGTGTTTGAAGTGTAGACATAGCCTTAGATAGATTGATCCCCTATGGGAAGCGAGTCATGACATCAATTCCAAATTTGACCCATTTCCCAGTATGTGAGAAAGCTACTAGTATGGATGGCTGAGCCAGCTGTCCGATCGCCTGGTTCCTCAACTGTAGCTACAGCTCTTAGGGTACATCTATACTTATCTCCAGGTCTGGCGGTAAGCAATCGATCTTCTGGGATCGATCCTGGAAGTGCTCGCCGTCAACGCCGGTACTCCTGCTCCGCAAGAGGAGTACGTGGCATCGACGGGGGAGCCTGCCTGCTGCGTGTGGACCCGCGGTAAGTTCGAACTAAGATAGTTCGACTTCAGCTACGTGAATAACATAGTGAATAAATTATTCACGTAGCTGAAGTTGCGTATCTTAGTTCGAAGTGGGGGGTTAGTGTGGACCAGCCCTTAGTACCCATCAATCCAAAGACTGAGAGAAATGGAGAGTTCCAACCATTGTCATTTTAGTATCTTATTGTTCCTTTCTCTATTTTTTGTGCTGGCCTTTCTATTATATCAGTGTGTGACAGTATAGCTCAGGACATGTGAGACAAACTCTCATTGGTGCCAATTGGCAAAGGGGTCACTGTTCTTCACAAGCAACTCCTCTCTCAGACCTGACCAACTTGCCACACCTAATACACTGATTTTATGTTATTTATCCAGGAAGCATAGCAGTGAGACCTCTACTGAAAGCTTGTAAATAATTGATACTTCTAATCGCTTAGAGAGGTGTGTATGAGTCATACTAAAAGAATAATGTAACTACATGGAAAATTATGCCCATATGGTATTGTCATAAAAGTGAGTCACTCCAATCATTGGTCTTGGTGGGGACAGCCCATTCCAGTGGGAGGGAATTGTCACCCCTCCCTTACGAGCTAGTTATGTGATGTATTACTCTATTGTCAACCTTTGCACCAACCCAGAAAAGCCAATGGAAAACTATCAAAGACAAACTATAGACATCGAAACCCTGTGGAAGTGAAAAGGACAATATGACAATGAGGAGATCGTCCTTTCTGTGAATAAAGACAAAAGACTGATTCCGTTTATAACAGGGTGGAGAAAAACACTCAGGGTCCATTCACCCAGGAGATCCATAACGACCAGTGGTGCTTCACGAAAGGCAGGGCCCTGGCTCCTAGGGACTCGCAGTCAGTGCAATAGACTGAAATGTGAGGTGAGAACCAGGGCCATCCCTAGCCATTTGGGTGCCCTATGCATCCCCTCCCATGGGGGGGCTCTGTGGGGTCCCAGGCCTCCCCCCCAAGGGCCTGGGAGGCAGGAGCTGTGGGGGAGTACTTTTGGGGGCCCTGCAGGCCCAGAGTCACCCAGGGGATTAGTGGGGGGCCAGCAGCAACCCGCTCCACTTCCCCTGCCCTGCCCCTAGCCTGCTCTACTCCCCCAGCTCCCAGCCACAGTGCTCCACTTCCAGCCACTGGTGAGTGCAGGGGGGGGGACACCTTTCCCCAACCCCCCCGCCCCCCCCCAGTGCAACATGACTGGGGCCAGGGCAAGGGAAACAGAGCAGGCTGGGGCCGGGTTGCTCCGCTTCCTGCCACTGCCGGTGAGTGGGGGTCCCTGGGGGAAGAGGTGGAATGGGGGTGGACTGGGGGTGGAGCATGGGGGAAGGGTAAGAGGCAGGGCGGAGGGAGGTGTTTGGGGCCCCACACACCCCTAGGGACGGTCCTGCCCCTTGCAGTGGGTGCAGCCCGCGGGGAAGGGGGGGCTGGCTGAGGGATAGGGCTGGTCACCGGGGCTGGTGCCTCCCTGTATGCAGCATGCAGCTGCTTAGGGCATTGCCCCAAATTTCATGGTGCCCTATGCAGCGGTGTATGCCTAAGGATGGCCCTGGTGAGAACCTACTTAGGTAGGTAAAGGTAACTATTAAAAAGTGTAGGTTACTGTAGCGATGCGAGACTCACTGCTGGGGCGCCTCCTGCTGGTCCAGTATGGGAATTAGCTCTCTAGCCTTGGCGCACCCTCTACAGGCCGGTATCCCGCTTGCCACAGGCCTTCCTATCCCTCCCAGACACAGGTGCCCTTTATCCAGGGGTTCTGCCCTCTGCAGCAACCCCCAATCTGGGTTTCCTCACTCAGGGGAACCCCCCACTCCTTATCCCCACCTCACCTCAGTGGATACTGCCACTCACCATCTAGCCCCCATTCACTGGGGCAGACTGCAGTCTGTAAAGGCCACTCATCACTGGCAAGGGGGGGTTGGACCTGCTGCCTTGGCCTACCCCTGGGCTGCCCTCTGCAACCCCAGTGCCCTGCTGGGCCTTTAACCAGGCCTGCAGCATGGGGGGTTTCCAGGCTGCAGCTCCCCAGCTCCTTTATCTTTCCCCCAGCCCTGCTCCACTCTAGGTACCCTGTGAGCTCCTAACAGCCAGGCCCATCCCTCTCCGCATCGAGAGAGAGAAAGAGAGACTGTGTGCTCCAGGCCCACTGCCCTCTTATAAGGGCCAACTGCACCTTGATTGGGGCATGGCCACATCTGTGGTTAGTTCCCCAATCAGCAGAGGCTTGCTGTTCTCCCTAGCAGCAGCCCTCTCTCAGTCTCAGCCCTCTCCCAGGGCTGTTTTAAGTCCTTCCAGGCAGGAGTGGGTGTCCACTCCTCTACAGAGCGTGCTCAGTGTCCTCTGTGGCTGCCCTGCTGGCTGAAGCTCTCCTTCCTTCTCCTCTCCACCTGCCCTGCTGGCTAGAGCTTCTTCTCCCTTACTCCCTGGGCTGTTGCTGCTGCTGGCTAGAGTGCTCTTTCCCTGGACTGCTGCTGCTGCTACCACTGCTACTGAGCAAGGGGCCTTGCCGGCCAGCCCCCCCTCCCCACCATCTCTGGAGGGAGAAGCCAGGACCCCACTTTCACCATCACCACTACCACCTGTAGAGGGTCCTTCCTGCCTGGCTGCCAGGGTTGCTGGAGCTGCTGCTGCTGCCGCGTGTGTCCTGGGGAGCTGCTGGAGCCTGGAGGTGGAGGCCGAGGACTACATAGACCATCGGCTGCTGGGGGAGCGCACAAGACTCTGGAGACCACTGTGGAGGGGGCCATTCGGGACTGAGTAATTTTCGAACTGTGCTCTAGTGGTGGGGGTCTAGACTGTGTTTGTGGGGACACAGGGGGTGTGGCATGGAGCCTGCCCCCTGGTCCACCTGTGTCCCCCCCCAACCCCCACCACCACCGCTGCCCCCTCCACCACCCCCACAGCCCATTTACCATCTGCCTCCGCTCCTGCCTCTGGGACTCTGCTGCTCTCCTGGCCTCCCGCGCCCTATTGACATCGTTTGGGCCTGCAGAGGCAGGCAGGCAGCCCACATATTGACTTTGCACAAGCGCTCGTGGGCGCACCTACCCCCCTGGACTGACCCCTTCCCCTTCGCAACAGGCCCCCCAGCTTTGCCCCT